TTTTGCGTTCCTTGTTTTCTCGAGCATTTTTAGACCGAATTCTCTTCAGATCGTCTGGGCTTGCTTTTTAAAGGTTTTTTTTTTTTTTTTTTCCCCTCTTTTTGGCTTTACAAGACTTTTTTTTTTTTTTTTCTTGTGCGTATGGCAAAAAAAAGCTAGCGTCAAGCCCAGTGGTTGAGGCGCTCTGCAGGGGGGCGGGAAAAGTTGCCTTTGTTCCCAACAAGTTATTTTATCGCTAAGGGCCGGCGGCTGAAGAGAGAACGGGTCGGCGCGCGCGCGCCCCGAGCGCAGCCTTCCACCCTCGCCGCGTCGCCGTGCCGCTCGCACTACGGGAGGCCGGGGCCTCGCCGCCCTGCGGCTCTTCCAGGCGGCGCGGGCTGTGAGCGCGATACCGCGCCCCTCCGCTCTCCGAGGCGGCAGGGCCCGCCTTCGGTCGGCGCGGCGCTCCGGGCGAGGAGGGGCGGCCCGGAGCTCCTCGAGCCCCGGTTTCCCCCTCGGCCGGAGCCGCGCGGGGACGCCTTCCGCCGGTCCCCCTCCGCCGGTTGCCATGGTGTCGCGGCCCGGCGTGCTGTGGGCGGTGGCCGCGGCGGCGCTGGCTCTGGCGGGCCGGCGGGTGCTGCCGGCGCCGGTGGTCCGCTGCGAGCCCTGCGACTCGCGGGCGCTGCAGCAGTGCAAGCCGCTGCGGCCTGACTGCGCCGAGCGGGTGCGGGAGCCAGGATGCGGCTGCTGCCTCACCTGCGCCCTGCGCCTGGGGCAGCCCTGCGGTATCTACACCGAGCGCTGCGGCGCCGGCCTCGACTGCCGGCCGCGGCGAGAGGAGGCGCGGCCGCTGCAGGCTCTGCTGGAGGGCCGCGGTCTCTGCACCAACGGCACGGCGGGCGACGAGCTACGGGCCTTCCTGCCGCCGGCACCGCACGCTCCAGGTAAGGGGCTGCTGCTCCGGGCGGGGGCGAGGAAGAACGCCGAGGCTGCGTGCGTGCGTGCGTGCGTGTGCGGCGTCTCGATTGGTTCGCCATGGTTCTTTTTTAAGTTCGAAAGTCATGCACGTACATGAGAAGGGTCGGGCGGCGGGGGAAGGCGAGGCCGGCGCCGTCTGCTGCTTCAGCGGTTCTCGGTGGCCGGGCCGGCGTGGCACGAGCCGTTTAGGTTTTTGTCCCGAAGTTACTTGTTTTCTTAGCTTTTAAGTAGCTCTTCAAAAAAGAAGCGAAGTTGCTCTTCTTAAGCGTAAGGGGAAGGAAGGAGGTGCGCGCTGCCCGCCTGGCTGTGTGAGGCTATCAGGCTGAAGGACCTTCGTACAGAGCTGAAATCCTTGTGATTTGTCACTGGTGTTCCTGGAAAGAGGGTGCGAAAACACTGCAGAGTGTGGGCTGACTCCTGCAGCGTGGCGAACTCGGGGGAACGCTAAGCCTGGGAATAAAATAATGTAGAAAAGAGAACAAGAACGTAGTGAAGTATTTCCCTGAGCCATGGAGGCCGTTATTAAGAACGAAGCATTCTCATAGCGGTGAGAGGACGCTGCTTTTCTCTGAATTGCAAATAAGTCTTTGGTCAAACAAAGCTGTCCCGTGCTTCTTGCAAATGAGACGTTCACAGAGCAGGTTCTGTTTGGCTTGAAGAGGAAGAGACGGTTGGAAAAAGTTCTGTTAACGTGCATATTTAGAAACTTAAGAGACAGGAAGACCTGGGTTTCAGATCAAGAAAGCACAGTCCCTCTCTGCAAGTATTTCATTAAACTGTTTGCTAACCAACAGCAAGTATGTTAATATTTATTTAATAGAAAAAGTGTGTCAGAAGTCTTTCCACCGTTTCCCTTTTTAAAAACTAGGGGTTTTTCTGCTAGGTTACAGGAACTCTTTGACTGGCCTTTCCTTAGCTGAGGAAGTGGCACTGGTGTTTCGGTTAAAAACTGGCTGCTATGAGAGTAAGACATGTATTATTATGATTGCTTATGTGCCTCTGCCAAACTGTGATGCTTTGAGCAAGAGTTCAGAGGTGCTTACTGAAGTTCTAAATATCATGGGAGCATGGAGCAGCTGCCTTTGTCACATGAATGTTTTGACTCTTCATTCTTCACGTGATTTGACAACAGTGGGTTGTCACTACTCCTCAGTACTTGGAACCTGGTGCTGTTTAGTGCAGGGCAGTTCAACAGCCTAGAGGAAACGGGAAAGAGGCCTGATGAAAATACTTCCTTTTTTAATATGAAGTAGGCAGAATGTTGAATTCCTGTTTTGCATTCTTGGCATACAGAAACGTCTTGTTTTGAAATAAGACGTTTTGATTCCTTAAGAAGTGGGAAGTAGATCCCATACAGTTCACATTCAAGGCATGACGATGGAAAACTTGGTTCAAGAAGGAAGCTGAACCTGTATGATGATATCACACACTGTGTCCACCTCGTTGTGGGTGCTGTTCCAATTTCATTGATAAATCCAATGCTAGGGAATTAAGATTCTGAGGTGGTACCCTCTGTCCTGGAGCAGGATCACATCTTACATCTTCTCTGTTATGCATGGCTAGGCCCTGCATTAGGTGCTACGCTTTGATCGGTAGTAGTGATTGCTAGAATTTTGTGGCTGGTGTGTATTATAGGAACTTCTTAACACCATCTAAAGTAGGCTACTACTTTTACAGTTCAGATTTTGGAGCACTAAAGCGATAATTAGTAATGCTTATATGCAAACATTCTAGTCTCTTTTTGAAAGAAAGCAAGTAACTTGAGTAACAGTTTTGTTTCCACTATGCAGGGTGTAGAGGTGATGTGGAACAAGGTCGTGTAGAATAGAGTTAATTGAATACACTGTACAGTTTAAAAAGTGGAATTACGGCTGTTCTAAACTTAAGTGTAAGAAATACCATGATAGTCTGTTGAAACTGTGTGGATAGCCTGGTGGCTATTTGATGTGCAGTAATATAATTTTTGATATAGCTGGTAAACTAATATCTGAATGTAGAAAACCTATTGGGCGTAATATTTGTATGTAGAAGATCTGAATTTATAACATTGCTGAGTCACTTACTGCAGACTTCACTGAGAATGTGGAAAAAAATTCATTTCAAGAAAGAGACGTTCCACTGCCAGAAGTGAGTTCAGATAGTGCTGAGAGTATGATTTAACCATTGCTAGCTAGGAAATCTTGTATTTAAGACTTGAACTTCCTTTCCATTTGTTCTAGGAGCTGGATTTTCTCAGTCAGTTATGTCTTTTGCTGTCAGTGGCTACATTAAAACCCCCAGTACCAAGATGTTGACTCTGATCGCTCCTGCTTGTTTTCCTCCCTGATTCTTGGGTATTGCCAGTGGAACAATACATTAGCACTGGATTTCTTGGTTTGTCTGGTTTTCCAATGAGCCACCAAGTATAATTTTAATATAGGTATTCAGGATGTTTCTTGTGCATCACTTATTATTGCGCAACCCCAATATGATTTCTTTCTTCTTATCGTAGCTGACAAGTATCCATTCTGTAGGGGAAATAGAGCCTTTTACAGTTACGTTGCAAGAGCCTTAAAAGAGAGAAATGCAGTGTAGGCAAATAACTTTATGAGATACAGGAACGCTGAGCTTACGCAATGTTCTGGAAGAATGCATTTCTCCTCTAGCTCCATGGATGATAAAAGTATCATCCAAGAAAAAGTATTTTTGAGGCCTGTATTGAAAGTAGATGTTTATCCTGTGATACCACTACAGAATGAATGGCTTTTTTTTTTCTTGCCCTTGACCCTTAAAAGTATACTTAGTACATCATGAGATATTTTCATTCCTCTCTTACAAAAATCAGAAACACTTTTTCTCCTGTACTGTATGTGGACTAAAGCAAAGAGAAAAATGGCTTTAAAATAATTAACTAGTACTGTCGTGCTCAGCATGGTAGAAACTTTGCAGTGAAGATTTTCTTTTTGTTATTCTACCAGGGGAGATCATTAGTTGCTCTCTATCTAGTAAGTATCCCAGGTTAGATATATTTAAAGTTGTTTAAATCTGCTCTGGATCAGAAGTAGATGATTTGAGCGCTCTACATGTCCCTTGTTGGTTGGGCTGCTAACAGCTCTGACTCGGGGCCAAGTGCTGGCAGCGGTCTGCATGTGGCAGACCTTCCTCCTGCCAGGAAAGGAAACCAGTGAAGAATAAGGACTGAGAAACCTCAGCGTAGTGGTTTGCAAGTAGTTAGAAGTGAAGTGAATATAAATAGTTCTCAAGCGATTAAGAATGCAGCATGTTTTTTAGAGGCATCCAGCACAGGTGTTGGAATGACGTAGTGCCAGGAGGGAAGCCTTTAGTTAGAAAATTCATCACAGTTCTTTACAGTTAGCAGTGGAGATGCTAATGCTTACAGAATATTGAATTGTTTGGTGTTACATTTTTATAAAGAAAAACTAAAATTGTAGATGGTTTCAGTGGTCTGTTGTCCTTCCAGACTCAGCTGATAGTCAATTAACTTTTTCTTCACTGAATTTGTTCTTTTCAAAGGAAATTCTGGTGATTCAGAAGAAGACAGGAGTACCAGTAGCTTAGAAAATCAGGCCATCCCAAACGTGCACAGAGTGCCAGATTCAAATTTGCCTCCACAGCACATCAGAATAGATATCATCAGGAAAGAACAAGCCAAAAATACACAGCGCTATAAAGTGGAATATGATTCACAAAGTACAGATACACTGAATTTCTCTTCGGAATCCAAGCAAGAAACTGAATATGTAAGTAAATTCTGTAAGTGGAAAGACATTTTCCTACTTCCGAACGTGTACCTGTGTGACTGTATCTGCATGTTGTGTTTTAACAAAGTAAACAAGAAAAGTAACCAAAATGGTTATATTTGTTGTACTCATCTAAAGCATTCTGACTGTTTTGCAATACAGCTGTTCAGTCTGCAAATGCAGACAAGCAGCTGACCAAACAGATTATATTCAGAAGACAAAGAGGCCTAATGCCCTGGTGTTTACATTGATATGAATATGTTTTTCACAAAATAAGTTCTTAGTGAAAGTGCTTGTTTCCGCCTGTTTCTGTCAATGGATTCAAGACAGGTTTATTATTGTCACTGTTTGATGAATATGGTTGCAAAAAGCATTATTGGGGGTTGTAATAATGGAAAAAAGGAAGACATTGCATATTCAGTCTCGTGATGTTTTGTTTGCACTCTGTGGAGCATTAGTGTAGTTTGAAGGACATGGTTGTCCAACCTTTTGAGTTGGCTGGGATGCATTGAGCAAAGAGGAATTGCTTTGCGCTGCACATAGAGTATGTAATAAATTTGTGTATGGAAGTTACAAAGCTTATGTGTTAATTAAAAAAGAATAAAAATAAAAAATAGAGGAACAAAGACCTCAAACTAGCAGGGTGTTTGATCATGTTTTTGTGAAACCGGTGCATCAGGCTGGTTTGATGGCAGTGGTTGCCATTCCTAGTGAATTTTCTAAGTGTTCATCAGATTTTTGATGCAATATTACTCTTCCTGTGCTTCATTTTTGACAATAATTTTTCACTAATGTACATACATCCAAAAAGTGATGACACGAATAAGGCATGACTGTGAAGTGAGGGGTA